GTCACAGCACAGCAGTCCACACTGGACCCCAAGCGGAGGATCCACTCCAGTTCTCCTAAGGTAGAGAGACTGGGTGAATCTGAAAAAAAAAGACGATTGCACTGTACCATGCAATCGCACCTAGCGCTCTTTCTGGTGTGGAAGGTGCATTGCGTTGCCATTCATTTGAATGGCACCCCTAATGCACCTCCCGCCTACAGTTTGATCGCCCACACCGGAACGGACGGTACTGCAATGCCGTGCGCTCCAGCGCGGTGCTATTTGGGTCTTGACCTAATGACCAAGGACAAATGTGAGTCCTGAGGTTACACAGGTTAAGAACCACTGCAATAAAGTATATTCTTATAAAAAAAAAAATTTCTAGATGAATATGTTACTAGTGCCGTAGAACAGGAGACAAGTTCATATCTCCCCAACAAGGATGCAGACAGGAAATAAAACCCGAGAATGAGACCAACCTTTGCACGCTACTCAGAACCTAAAATATAAAAAAAGGGGGAAAGTTGGTTGCTCGCTATAACTATTTAGCTAATTACTTCATCACAAAGTTGCTAATATGCAAATTCCGGACTTAAACTCCATTCACACCTCTCCATTTTTCACGTGTTACAGTTGCAGTGTTTTTTTAACAGCATTTTACATATATTTAGCATGAATTACCATGCATCCATGTAAAAGAATGCATTGCAGTTAATGCAGAAAAAAAGTGTTTTCTAAATATAGAGGTATGAAGGTAGCCATAATGTCTTCCAAGTAAAGATCAGGCCTGTTAAAAGCAGCGTGTTTGGTATGTGCCAGGGCTGGAATTTACTGTATAATGGCATAAGAAAGCCTGAGAAAAATAATGGCTGCTGACCAGATGCAAGCATGCCATCTGACAAGTACCACCCTGCTAATCCCCTGAACAATGGCTCTGGGTATTATGTGATTAGTATAGGAGATGCGATTAGAGTGTGCACGGAGTGTAACAGGGTGCATACAGCGGCGCTGAGTTTATTGGGATGCACACTGTGGCTTGCGGAGTGTACTGGGGAACAATGTGCAGTGTCCTATGTGTCATAGGATGATGCTGTGGAGTGCTGAGTGTACTGGGGTACAATTTGAGGTGACGGTGACCCACGTGTCACAGGATGCATTCTGTGGAGTGTTGAGTGTTCTGGGGTGCAATGGGACATGTCCCATGTGTCACAGAATGCATGATGTGGAGTGCTGAGTGAACTGGGGTGCAATGTTAAGTGTCCCATGTGTCATAGGATGATGCTGTGGAGTGCTGAGTGTACTGGCATACAATTTGAGGTGACCCATGTGTTCAAGGATGCATCCTGTGGAGAGCCGAGTGTACTGGGGTGCAATGTTCGAGGTCCCATGAGTCACAGAATGCATGTTGTGGAGTGTTGAGTGCACTGGGGTGCAATGTGAGCTGTCCTATTTGTCACAGGATGCATGCAATAGAGTGCTGAGTGTACTGGGGTGCAATGTGAGGTGTTTGACGTGTCACAGAATGCATGCTCTGGAGTGCTGAATATATCTGGGAGTGCATTAAGGTGCAGCGTAAGGTGTGCTGTCTGGTTCAAACCCTACCTGTCTGTTTGACGTCAACCAATAGCTAGCCTAAAGGACCCAACCACATTCTGGAGCACGTGATACTGCACAGTGAGTGAGTGGGCCTTATGCTTCTGAATTTGGAAGGACATATGCTCCAGACCAATGCCCACTTTCTGCATGCCATCCCAATTCTTTTTGAATTTGTGTTATACTACTGATTACTAGGGGTGTTTTATTGCTGCTTTGGGACGGTTGTTATGCTGTAGGCATGCAGACACTAAAAGGTTTCTGGTTATTTAACTGCACCCCTAAAAATACCTCCATGTTTTTCATCAACCACAAATGTCTTTTTTGCACCTTAGACCTCACTTTTTAGTTTTGCTGTAGGCCTTTTTTCTACTTAAGCTGGCCATTCAATGGTGCAAACGTTCATATCAAAATCGCATCAGAACATATGATATACCATCAGAGACTTGTAGAATGTAATTCAACATTTTGTTTGATTTTAACATTTGATTTTGGGGAAAAAAATCCACATTCAAGGATAGAATTTTAGTCTTCCATCTTGCTCTTTCATTTTTGGAACGTTCGTTTAATTTTGCAATAGTGAAACAAATCGATGAGCGTTTTGGACCACAGTGATGGATCAAAAACATATTTTTTTCAAACGAAATTCTACTGGCGTATGGCCAGCTTTAGACACTCCAGTCACCCAGCACAAACTTTCAGCATACAGAGCTCTACTTTTTTTTTCCCAGCGCCCCATTTTATCTCAATCCAGCCCCCAGCATAGACATGTTCGGCTATTACAAATTCTGCAGACAGCGCAGACTACAAATAAATTAAGATTTTAAAATAGTGCAGAAACCCGGTCACAGAAAGTATTTTTTCACAACGAGGGCCGCCACTTTAGACATACATTGTTTAATAGAGTTTTTGAAACGTTCTTCTTGTCTGCCATGTATTTCCTAGTGTTTATCTGTGAAAGCACATGAGGTCAGCAGTGGGGGTCATTAGTCAGCAAAGGCCACATTCCTCTCAGCACTGTGGTTTGGAAGAAAGGCCTTTCCTCTGTGTGAGGGGTACAATTGAAAACATTTTGAAGTAGTCTCCCGGGAGACGGAATCTTTTCATTCCCTCTCATCTGTACAGGGCCTTCCCACAGAGGAGAGGGAGCACAGGCATCTATGAAAGCACCACAAATTGGTTTTACACAGTTTACCACTAAGACAATAGTACTATCTTAGATTCACACACACCAAATATCAAAGCCTCTTACATTGAAGCCAATCTCCAGGCAAACTAAAAAAATTACCCTTGCAGTGGGGCAAATCCAGCACTGCAAGGGTTAAGAGCTCATTTTGTCAAGGGGGCAGGAAAAAGCTATTTTACGTACCTGACCCCTACTTCCTCTGGGCTGCTAGACCAATTCCCGCAGCCTCTTCTTCCCTGGCTCCACTGGTCTAAGGATGGCTGACCTCAGCATGTCTAATGCAGATGTCTATAGACCTGCATTAGTTGTAGGGACTCCGAGGGACAGTTGACAGCCAGAGCAGAAGAGAGAGAGATGAGCGCTGACTGCTAGGGGAGCAGGGATCAGGTACATAAAAATGCTTTACTCTTGTCCCCTAGACATAAAGAAACACTTAACTCACTGCAAGGGTAGTTTTTTGATTTGCCCAGAAAAGGGCAAATCAAAAAGTCCCTGTTCACACCTAGGCATTTTGTCGCTCAAAGGTAACAAAAACACTCAAGACAAGGAACCCCATTTGCTTGTCCTGAGCATGACAAAACACCCAAGACAAGGAATCCGATACATTTCTAAGGCTCCTGTTCAAACCTAAGCATTTTGTCGCAAGCAGAAAAACGCCAGTCACTGCAAGAAGTACATGAGCTACTTTTTTGGCAGACCAGCACTTTTTGGTCCCATAGACTTCAATGGGAAACTTTGTGTGACCAACAGGCTCAGGTGTGAACAGGGGGCATAGAAATGAATGGGATTCCTTGGCATTTTGTCGCACTTAGCTCTGAACAACAAAACCTAGGTGTGAATGGACCCTTAAACCTGTCACAAGCTTGGCCAATTGAAACTGAGCTTTTAAAAATTGCTTAAGCAAAATGAAATAAAAACATAAAAACAATCAAAAGATACAGAGATACAGACAGATAAAGTTATGTGCAAATCTTGACATATCCCAACTTTTCTTCTAAAGCTCGAGCTTGACTCTGTGTCTACCAAAGCCTTCCTATTAGTGAGTGGGGGTGCCCATCACAGAAAATGACCAACAGGTAGGCAGCAATGACGGAAGAGTCAAGGCTAACATTTAGAAGGAAGTCAAGATCTGCATATTTATTCACTTGCCTAGATCTCCGTGGGTGCATTCACACCAAAATTGGAAGTAAATCTGTTGAGGGTCCTTTGACTTGCAATTGTACCTTCCGATTTCCTTCTGATCTGTTGCATTGCAATCCGTTTATCAAGGGATGCTAACATAAGGGCAATAAAAAATAAATGGGTGTGAATGGGGCAAGTTCACACTGGATCCATGCCCTTCCGTTAGCATCCATTGAAAACATCGCAATGCAACGGATCCCAACGCAAAGGATCGCAACGCAACAGATCTGGTGATAATGGGCCCTGAAACCACCAATTATTCTTGAATGAAGCTTTCACTGATGTGTATTTTTTTCATATGTTTAGTTTGTATTGTGATTGTGAATGGTTTACTTTAAATGTATATAGTATACCAACTTTTCTCATTAAGAACCTAACTTAATTAAGAAATGATTTCATTATATATGCTACTAACAGTCATCCCTTACATGAAAAATGTAAGTTCCTAAATGCTTCCTGAAATTAAATGTTTCTATCTGTACAGAAAGAGTTTTAAGTGATAAGAATAGATAAACCCTAGCGGGTGTTACTGCAAAAAAAAATTTCTATGTGTCTTTGCGATGACCTGTTTTGATCAGGTGTGGTTAAATGCAGGTCACCGCTGTTGTGTGAATGGGCCCTAATGGAAATAAAAGTGGACCATTATAGTTCACATAAGACATGATATTTAAATCCTCCCTCCCTAGAATAATGATACAAGATTATATAAAGACATCTAAAATACTTAACATATTTGCTTAAAATTTTTGACCCCCTGTCACTCTGCCACTGTTCCTCCACTTTGCTAATGCCTAGGCACTGGTCATGTGATCAGCGGCAGAGGCATACAAAGGATTCAAGAAATAAAGCAAGTACTTTGGATGTTTTGCATAGTGTAGAAATATTTTTATCCGCATCATGATCCAACTGCTTCTGTGTGGTAGGAAGACATTTTTTGTTTGCTAAGCCAATACTTACCACTGCAGCCCAAAGGTACTTTATTTTCCCAAATTACTAGAATTTGTGGTAATATCAATAAGAGAACTTTATCTTTTTTCAACTAGTTAACAATGTAACTTACTAGGAGAGCGTCCGTGGAAATAGTTGTAATACTGTGACACATAAGTCAAGATGCTCAGCCGGTCTGGCACACGAAGTTTGACCATATCCTCCGCATCCAGCAGAGCTGGAATTCCAAGTTTCTCTTCAGCAACACGGAATGCCTGCAATATGGAGACACAAGTGAAAGACTCTTGAATTACAAGAACAATGAGCCGACATTACTAGACCTGACCCAAGTTACAAAAGACAGCTGGAGAATGGTCCACAAAGCCTGCTGCATAGTCATTACCTAAGTATATGACCTGCTGCCTTATTTATGAAAAAGGAGTTCAGTTCAGCACCGTAGCCATTACTGTTCAGGTCTTGCATACAAGTCAACTTTTTCCTATTAAATTCTTTTTTTTGTATTTTGTCACAAATGGAGAAATAAAAATCCCATTATTGGTGGAATGGGAGGATAAGTTGCTTTGGAACATGAAAAGATCATAAACCCATATTTGCCAAAGCTGATGAAGTCATATGTTATTGTCTGTGCCACACAAACCACAGAAGTCAACTATCCAATGCTCCTAAAATATTACAGCCAGAAAGTGGCTGTCTTTTCTAGGTCTGGGAATGGAACCTCTGTGTCATAGGATAAACATGGAGGCTGTCATTGTTGACATCTCTTTCTGAAATCAGAAGTTGCCTGGCTCTCATTCTGACCCTCTGGCTTTATAATTTTGAGATACTAATTCTGATTATAACATTGGCGAGGGTGCTTCAAATAGTCAGCTTTTGTTTATATGGCTTAAACGTTCTTTCACAAGAAAAAGAAAACCTGTTGTTACAACTCAGGGGTGGGCAACCACAGTGCTCCAGCTGTTGTGGAACTGCAAGTCCCATGAGACACTGCAAGACTTCAACAGCCACATGCATGACTCCCGGAGGCAGAGGCTTGATGGAATTTGTAGATTCACAACAGATTGAGTGCCGAAGTTGTCTACCCCTGATATAACTGCTTAAAAAGTGTTAGCTGGAGTTGGGCTTTAGTTTGATTGCCTTTTCCTTAACGTGTACCTACCTAAAAGGGACATTTCCCTCACTTTGGGAGAGTTTCTTTTACTTCCTCTTGTGTCTTTGGGACACAGACAGGAAAAAATAAACTGGCAGGGGTTTTAACACTTCCCTACTCTCTAGAAAACATTTGTAAAACGTTTTGGCTATACAAGCACTTTAAATTCCACTTAAAACTACAGATCCATATAGACTACCCAGTTTACTGGGAGACAACACTGCTGTGCGATTTCACTAAACAGCGTTGCCACCCTATTAATGAAAGTGAACAAATAACAGATCTACTGGCAAGATCAAAACACTAGCAACCGACTGCATCATATACTGTATGTGATTCATTTTGAACACATTTCTATTTTCATACATGACCCCCTCTGTTAGTTATAGAATACTCTTCATCTGGGCTTGGATAACTTTATAATTACCTCCAAAAAAATAAATATCCTCCCTCCACGGTGTCTCCGTCCTACTCACCTTCCAACACAGAAGCCACTGCATGCCACCCAATGACACAAAAATCAGGTTTCTATAGAAGCACAAGAGTTGGAGGTCTCCCTTTCAACTTGGCGCAGGTGCAGCCATGCAGGCTGTAATTAATCCCCATGTCTCCCATTCACTTACAAAGAGAATTAAATCAGTTACAACCTATGGATCTGCAGTGCACATGTGCCATGATAAAGAAGAGGTCTTCTGCATTTAGGGCTCATTCACATGGGGCGATCTGGCATTCCAGTGGCAGGTACCTATGGATTCCTGTCGCAGGAATGCCAGGTGTTCCCGTTCAGATGCGCGCGCTTGTACCCATTGAAGGTAATGACAACAGCAGCAGTCCGCATGTAATCATATATGATATGATTACCTGCAGTTTGGAAGAGAAGACTGACGCTGGATGCAGGAGAGATGCATCCAGCAACAATCATGTAATCAAAACCGCATACAGTTTTATCATTTTTGATTGGTATTTTTTTTTCGGGGAGGGGGGGTTATCCTTTCAATCTCTTGACAGTTTAACTCTTTGAGAGAACTTCAGGAGCAGAGTTCTATGTACACCATGGAGGGTCCAATAGTTGGGGGTTCGAATTGCCCAGCCAGTCCACAATCAACTTATACTTCATATTTGATTTTCAAGAATATTTTTTGTTTGACTACCCACACAATATGTTGAGATTCTGTCCAACATACAGTTGTTGGGAAATGTCAGAGGAAAACATCGCTAAGAGCAGCTAACATAACCCTGAGCCTATAACACAAATCAGAGGAGGTTAATAGAAATGATGAACATCAGCAGTATTCAAATAAGTTGTAATATTAAACTTACCAAATTATTGTTTTCATAAACATTCTCCTTACTCAGTGAGTTGAAATCTCTGAAAAAAGATGAGACACCCTATAAGTATGATATACTAGGCCACACAGACAGGCAACAAATCTAAATTTCCCAATCATATACAAAGTACAAAATGCAGTATACTGTATTGTAAATTAAAACAAAAGTTTTGCTACAAAGTCTCTGTTCACATTTGTGCATCTGTATTTTCATGCCCTTTTACACATTTAGGAGGCTTGTTTCCGTAAAATAATTAAAACGTAAACAAAAAAAAAACACCTAATTAGCGGGAGAATACTTTACTTCAGCCGCCCAAAGTTGAAGGTGGTTACTAAAAATAGGTACGGCTTTCAGCTCTGGTGAGTCTTTGTGATACATAGTGTTTTGTTCCTATACGCCTTACTCCTGTAATGTTTCATCACTGTGTTATATCCTTGGCTTTGTCTGTACATTACCCAAGTACTTTCTTTTTCCTCTGTGTTTTATACTTTTGTAAAAATGTTTCTGCTTAAATTAAGAATTTCTAAAAAAAAAAAAATAGCTACGGCTTTTGGTCAAACATGGTTCCATAGATTAAAGTATGGCACAAACTTACTATTCTACGCAGTTAATGTTTTTAAAATCTCACAGCATTCGTCCTAAAACACTGGAACATAAGAGGTTTTACATCTTCAAAATGTATTCTACTTGTGAATAAATTATTAGGATTATCTCACTTAGGAAACTATAGATGCAAAATAGCAGATGGTCTGACCACCCACAATTGTGGCATAAACACGTGTGAATGCACCGGCCAAGCTTGCACATTTATGCCTTGTTAAAACTGGCTTTGTTTATTTTTTATTTTGCAGGAACAACAGTTAATAGGCAGGAATATTTATCTTAGGCAATCTAAGGTGTATTCACTGTTTGGGGATCCCATAGATATATAACAATTTCCCTGACCAAATGTTATCAGATCTGACAAAGGTCACCTTATGTATAATACACCCTATACCCTTGGCTCTAAACTGGTGGGTTGTGACCCAAAAGTGGGTTGCCACACCGTGTTCAGTGGGTCGCCACATGCCTTCAACTTTTCTAGGCGAGAGGCTCCTCTGCCTCCCCCTAGTGCAGCACTGTCAGTTCTTGCACCAAGCAGCCATTAAAAATATGCCGGAGTGTCAACTTCAGGTGGGATGGGATGGAGCTATGGCCATGAGGAAGCTCCATCCATACGTGCATTGCTTACAGCTCCCTCACATATCCTGTAGAGGTGCTTGGACCAGAGTGACATCATATTCTGGCTCCTGACACCTCTACAGGGCGCACAAGGGAGCTGTGCAAACAATGCATATATGGATGGAGCTCCATCACAGTAGCCTAAACTGCACGCCAGGCTGAGGATCCACTCAAGTCCCTGTAAGGTAGGGAGACTGGCTGGACCTACCACGTGTTCTGTTGTGGGAGGTGTGTTGTGTTGCCATTCATTTGAAATAGGGATGCACCGATACCAGTATTTTGGTACCGAGTACGAGTCCAGATAATTTTGTTTCGGTACTCGCCGATACCAATTACTGAGTAACTGAAGTCGTATTCAGGAAGCCAGGTGGCGTGTAATGACTCGCCACCTGGCTTCCTGATTAGCTGGGAAGCCGGGCAGCGTGTAAAGACTTGCCACCCAGCTTCCCGATTAACAATCAAGTCTGACCCTTCTTACCTTGTCCAGCCTGTCACCCCCGGGGCCTCTCCAGCCAGAACGCGGCCTTCCTCCGGTACCCAGCCGGAGCCGTCTGGCCGGCCAATCAGGAAGCCAGGCTCCGTGTAATGATGCAACACCCTGCTCCTGGCAGGAGGCCGGCTCCATGCTCCCTCGTCATCAAATGACGAGGGAGCATGAAGCCAGCTTCCCGGCCAAACAGAACTGTTATACGCTGCTCGGCTTCCTGATTGGCCTGGAAGTCGGCTCCATGCTCTCTCATCACAAGTGACGAAAGAGCATGGAGCCGCTTCTCGGGTAATCAGGAAACTGGGCGGCATGTAATGACGCACAGCCCGGCTTCCTGATACCGGAAGTAATCGTGCTAGGCGTCGGAGTATTTGGGCGAGTACAAGTACTCGCCCAAATGCTCGGTATCGGCACCGCTGTCGATACTAGTATCGGTGCATCCCTAATTTGAAATGCATCTCCCACCCACAGTGCGATTGCACACACCTGAATGCATGGTACCGCAATGCTGTGCATTCAATTGCAGTGCGACTTAATGACCAAGGACAAATGTGGGTCCTGAGGTTACACAGCTTGAGAACCACTGCCCTATACTAATTAAGCAATGAACTAAATCCAAGTTCAGCAGGGCACCATCTGCATGGCACCTGTGGTTGCTCTGATTCCTTCCGGATACGGCGGTTTCCTCCCACACGTCAAAGAAATACCAGTAGTTAACTGGCTCCTGTCTAAATGGGCACTAGTAGGTGTGCATATGAGACAAGGGCCTTAGATCGTAAGCTCCTTGAGGGAGGGGACTAATATGTAAAGCGCTGTGTAAACTGATAAATACCTGTAATAAAAAAATTAAATAAAATAAATACAGTGTAGTGAACAGTGCATGTGAGTTATTTTTCGAATAGCCGCAGTGCTCATTGTAAGATTCAAATATTTTTTTTTTTTTTCATTGTTTAATTGGAGTGTTCAATTGTAAAAATGGTCACCTTAGGTCTATGATACCTTTACACAAAACCGCTGTAATTAAATGCAAGGCTACTTTCCAAATGTTGCTTTCTGTTCTGCCTATAATTGCTAAAACTTTAACATTCCAGTAAAGCTAGAATAATTATATGCAGACCTCTCTGGTGTAGAATGAGTTAGAATTAGAGTAAGGTCAATTTTTGTTTTTGCCCATTGTTCTACTCTAACTTGTCAACCGCCAACCTGCAGCAGCAGAGGGAGGTACAGAACAAGGAGTGGAACTAATCACATGATTTCTCAGTTGTAATTTGGAACAAGTCATGTGACTTTTCATTAACATGTTCAGGGATAAGCTGATAAACTATAATGTTGGACATACTAGGCTTAATTCTCACCAATTTTTTTAAATATACTGAACCTGGGTATACGCCTGTACAATGCAACATCGCACGTGCATCACAGTGTGTTTTTGCATGTTACCATGCATTGTGGTAGGCGGCCCATTTATTTGCTTGGCTCTAGCTGATACTCCCTGGCCAAGTACGTTGGGACAGACTTGATCAGCCAGAATTTTCCCAGCCAATCATTGTTTCTTCTGTGGCAGGCTGGCGTCTGCAAATCCCCCTTCCATTAGGCACCAACATGTAGATTCTCCCAAAGGGAACTTTTAGGATTGTGGACAGATCTTTCGCCAGCAGATCTTTGGTGGCCATGTCATGCATGCATGGCCGGTCGCCATCTAATGTTTGTAGGGATATAAACACTGACAATCATTAGCAGGGACTATTCACCAGTTAATTATATGAGAACAATTTGCAGTCTTTGATTGTGCTGGTCCATTAGGGCATAAAAGCTAAAAGACAATGGTGGTGACAAAATGAATTATTAAAGATACAGGTCACCTCAGGTCATAGCCGACTTTAAATTGGCGTCCCTGTAATCAAGCTGAGCTTGTAAATCCAATGCAACCAACAAAAGAATGAGTTCACATCCTGGATGGATTTGCATTGCTGGATCCCAACGTCTAAGCAGGTGCTTCCTGTACAGTGACACTGCCACTCTGCAGGAGTGACCAGACCTGACTGAGATGACAAGGCAGAGACCAACCTGATAACCATCTCCCAGATAATTAAACAGGACATGAGAACAATATGGAGGGGGCTAAACATTGCACAGTAATAAGGAAACACGTGAGACATGCATCCATTTCTGCTTAATCCAGCAACATTACACCCACAGTGCAGAATGCAAACAGGGTCAGTTTACTAAGGCGTATTTATTTCATTTTATTATATATCTAACAATAACTTTCTCAGCATAAAGTTCAATTCATATGCATTAATATAGTAGAGTACTGTACAATATCAGCCATCAATTAGTGCATACAGTTTAGAGTTTAAGTGATACCCTTAACTTAAAGGAGAACTATGAGATGAGTGCTTTTCAGTAAAGTGCTTGTCACATTGGAGGTGACAGGATCACTTTAAAAAGGTAACATTAGGGGTCTTTTAGACTCCTAGTGTCACCTTTCCACTTCACTGGATTCAGCTGCTGAATGTCAACGCAGCATGCATCGACTTGAAGCAATAGCCAGCCTGTTATTGGTTATTTTAAATTGCAATAGCAGGCTGGCTATTGCACCCACCCACTGCCTGCTGTCAATCAGCAGAGGAGGGCCCTGAAGGAGAAAGCTCTCCATCAGGTCCTCCTCTGTTGATTTACAACAGGCAGTGGGCCAGTGCAATAGCCAGCCTGCTATTGCGATATAAAATATCCAATAGCAGGCTGGCTATTGTTTCCAGCTGCTGGATGGGAGACTCAGCGCCGGAACACAAGTTTTCTACCGCCAGCAGAAGACGAGGGCACAGGGAGCAGTGGGGGAACAGTGGAGGAACAGCAGGAGGCAGAACGGGGCACAGAACAAGGCACAGACTGGTGCACGGCAGGAGGAATGGGGCACGGCAGGAGGAACGGGGCACGGAAGGAGGAACGGGGCAGGCAGAGGAGGAGGAGGAACGAAGCAGCAACGGAAGTGTGCGTGTGTGGGGGGAGGGGGGGCAGGGGGGAATTGCAGTCACAGCAGTCTCTCCTCCCCGCTGGTGCCGGCTGCAGGAGGCTGTGTCCCCGCTGCCTCTGCCAACACAGGCGGGGAGAGCAGCGGGGATTAAAAAGGGACACAGGCCACTGCAGCCAGCACCAGCAGGGAGGAGAACAGTGAGCAGAGCAGCAGCAACTAATTGAAAATCAACTAATCGATTTAATCGATTATCCAACTTATCGATTATCAACTTATCCATTTAATCGATTAGTTGTTGCAGCCCTAGGCGCATTCAACCATTTCAACAATCCTGAGGGATAAAGATAAAAGTGAA